TTTTTTTGAATGTCCAGAGGACCAGATTGAACTTTTTTTGGATTTTTCTACCTGGATTATTGAGCATGCATCAGGAAATTTTTGTGTTAATTTAAGCATCACAAAATATGTTTAGCAACCAACATTCACTTCTCTAAAAATCTGTTTGTATTTGGAGCATTACCAAGTGGTCCAGTTTGCAGGTAATGCAGTCCAGCCTCAGTCAGTGGTGTCTCAATCAGGTCCTGCCAGGAGCGTCTTTGCGAAGATGAAGAGCGTCCAGGGGACCCGGTCTCACTGCTGCCCCCTGCAGGACTTGAGCGGTACTACAGAAACACCAAAGAAGGAGAAGTTTTTAAGATTACAGTAATCTGAGCTGATTTTATAGGCAGATCGTTTATCAAGCCTTCCTGAAATCCTAAGTGAAAATAAAACAAATGTAGAATTTAATATTTTGATATAACAATATAAAGTAGTCACCCCTGTCATATTCTGACGGCTCATGTTGTAATACAGTATAAACACATACATTTTAATAATTTATTATAAGAAAAGTTTAAAACATCCTTGAAAGTCCTTTATTAAATACATGTTTTTAACGTCTCAGGGCAATGCACCACAGCCATAACACTTGCTATTTTAGTCAGTAAAGTCCCTGATAATAGAAATAATAATTCAGGTTTTCCCGTGGTCCTTGGGCCATGGCGGTGGATTAGTAACAATATTCACATCAAACTTTGAGTGTAAATAGCTGTCCATCCCAGTTTCCTACTCCAGCTTTGAACTGAGCCTTTTTGAACGGGGTCATTCTCCCACTCTGCTGTGTGCAGTGGTTCATCGTCCTCTGATGTACAACAAAGACTTCTTAAGTGACTTTTCTGATCTTTTAGTTGAACTCACACCATGAAGTGACACAGTTTTAATAATTGGGGATTTTGATATTCATGCTTGTTGTAATGCAAAGCCTTTAATGTAGGACCTTTTTTAGATTTGTTGGACTCATTTAATTTAACTCAGTCTGTAAATTGTGTGGAATGTGGGCACACATTTGACCTTGTTTTATCACACGGTATTTCTGTTTTTTGTCTTGAAATCAGAGGTGCTGTGTTTTCAGACCAAATGCCTGTTTTATTTGAGTTTCTTCCTCTTTTTCAATCCTCTAAACCATGTGTTTTTACTTGGCACAGCCAGGCTTTTAATCACCACTGCTACTGGTTTTACTGATGTTTTAAATTTTTAAGGAATCAAGCACCACTCAGTGTCTTCCACCACTGAGGAGCTAACCCTTCAGCTCCACTCTGTTTATTTAAACATTTTGAACCGTGTTCCTCCAGTAAAAGCCAGGCAACCAAAGTCCAGACCTGAGCCGTGGTTAAATGATGACACCCGAGCTATTATATGGCAGTGCAGGAGAGTAGAATGGAAATGGAGGCCAGATAGGGCTACGAGTTTATTTTTAAACGATAAAGAGAGTTGCCATTGTTATCAGAAAGCTGTAAAAGTTGCTTTTTTTTAAAAAATGTTACATTGCTGTCTCCAACTCTCACAACGTCCAAGTTCTTTTTTCTACTCTGAGCTCAGTTTTTCACCTCCCTGAACCTGCCCCTCTCGAAGCGTCAACTGAACAGTGTGAGGAATTTCTCCACTTCTTTTTGGAAAAAGTTGTCCACGCTCTGATGCTCATTTCTCCACCTGCTCATAATCCATTGATCTTGTCTCAATTTTAACCATGTTTGACCACTTTCAACTCATCTCAACTGTCTTTTTTTGGAGAAGCTCATTTGCAGCATGATGTTTTCTAGTTCCCCCTTCGATGTTGTCCCCCTTGGCTTCTAAAGTAGATATTTTCTATTCTGGACCCCTCTGTTCTCTCTGTTATGAATAGTAGTTAAACCTCAGGTGTGGTGCCAAAAAGTTTTAAATATGCTGCTGTTCAAGCTCTGCTGATAAAAACCTAACTCTGACCCCTCAGTGGTGTCCAACTTTAGGCCTATTTCTAAACACCCATTTGTATACAAATTATTGGAAAAAAAAAAAAGAAAAAAATTTGATTCCCAGTTAAAACGTTTCCTGGAGAATGAGTCTATTTTGGAGGTGTTCCAATCAGGCTTTAAATCTCACCACAGCACTGAATCCGCTATGTTGAGGGTTTTTAATGATATTTTTGTAGCCATGGATTCTGGTGATTCTGTGCTCCTTATCCTATTGGACCTTACATCTGCGTTTGACACCACTGACCATGAGACACTCATTTTTAGGCTTGAACAGTGAGTGGGCATCACAGGGTCGGCCCGCAAATAGTTTAGGTCCAACCTGTCTGACAGAATTAAATGTTTGTCTCAACATCAAACATTTCATTTCAACATCTGAAGCTACAGTATCTGGTGGAGGGTATTACATTGGTCCATTCTTGGACCTCTTCTTTTTCTTTGTGCCTGCTGCCTCTAGGTACTTTTTTTTTCATAAACATGACTTTCCTTTTTATTTTTATGCCAATGAATGTCAAATTTACTCCCCTCTGATGCACACTGGTGCATGCTATATCCAACCTCTCCTTGACTGCCTGGTTGACATTAGAGATTGAATGGCTTTGAAATCCTTAAATTTTAATGAGAAGAAGACAGAATAATTATTTTTCCACCCAATAGAACAATCAGGAGTCACTGTATCAAACTTTTCTTTCTAGCCCTCTTTAAGAAACAGGTTGTCGCTAATCTGGGAGTGAAAACGGACCCTTCCATTAAGTTAAAGAACAATGTAAACTAGGGGTTGAATCGACAGATCGACTACTCAACTTGTCGATTCTAGGACATATCACAAGATTTTTTTTTTTCATCTCGACTAGTCATAGTCACGGCAGCACGGTGGCGCAACTGATAGAGCTGCTGCCTCTCAGCAAGCAGGTCCACGGTTCAAATCCCGGTCCGGGTGCCTTACTAGGTTGAGTTTGCATGTTCTCTCCGTGCATGCATGAGTTTTTTTCAGGTACCCTGGTATCCTCCCACAGACCAAAAACATGCATGTTAGACTGACTGATAACTCTAAATTGTCCCTAGGTGTGAGTGAGCGAGTGAATGATTGTTTGTCTCGTTTGTCTCTATGTGTCCCTGTGATGGACTGGAGACCTGTCCAGGGTGTAGGGCTGGGTACCTTTCTAAAAAAAATCGGTATCGGTACCAGTGTCGGTACCTTCACTTCGGTGTCGGTTCCTGGACGTTTCTTTTTTCGGTACCAATTTTGTAATTACCTTGGCAGAGGATGAGTCAGCTGCGGTCAAGAGGTCCCTGGCACGCTACCTTTCAGCGTCTCCTCAGGGCAGCTGCGACTCGGCAGAAGTCGTGAGATAATCCGTTCCACAGAACAAACTTCCTCAGAAGTGATAGGGCATTCGCCGGGTGGAGCCACAGCGAGGCGTCGTGGCTCCGACAGGAACTCCAGCCGAACTCTATCAGAACCAGCTTCAGAACTTTCTCTAGAACTGAACTTCTCCCAACTAGAACGTTCAGAACTAGAACTTTCCCTCCGAACTTAACTTTCGGAACTTTTGTTCTGAACTTTTGGAACTTCTGTTCACTCGTTCGGAACTTCTCCTCCCTGGAACTAGGAAGTGTCGACTTTTAAAGAGTTCTGCTTCTGGTCACTTTTGGGAAGTCCTGATTGATTGAAAGAACCAACAGGGGTGTGGTTTTAGTGATGTCAGAGGGTCACTACAAGTCAGAAAAACAGCAGAGATGTTTAGGAACAGACAGAGAAATGTTTTGGAGAAATGACAGACTTACAGGTGCCAGTTCTCTTGTTCCTGTCTGAGAGCTTTAAAAACATGACAGTTCGTTCCAATAAACTTGTTTGTGACCGTCTCCGACTTTTGACTGACATCACACCTTTCTCATTTCAATCAGAAGATCAAAAATGCATAGTTACTTTGTAACAGACATTTAACTTGATTTCTACTTTGAATGATGATTAAAAATCATTAATACTGTTTCACAGTTGATTTAAAATGAGTGGTTCACTTCAACATTTAAAAATGGTTTGAACTAAACACACTTTTGATTATCAAGGTATTGTAAAATAGTAATGATAATATGAACAAGAGAGTGTTCTTTCAATTGATTAGTTCAGGATACAATTAGAAAGTCTCTGGATGAGCTAATTTGTATTTCTGGATTCAAATCAATGAAATAACAGTTGCTGTCCCATGAAGGTCTTCAGAGGCAGGTTTGACCGGAGGCTTAGTTCACTACACTATTAATCCTAACAAGAATAAAATTATGTTACACATTACAGTACATATTGTGAGTTTTATTTTTTAACTTTGGTATTTTTCTATTCCAAGCAGTTTTCTTACATAAAAACAAACAAATAATTTCCAGGTCAAAAGACCAGTTAAAAACCAGTTTCATGTCAGTGTCTAATGGTCACTGCTTCACACTGAGGACCTTTTCACTGAACAATTTTTCTTCAGAAACATCAACATGTCTGTTTTCTCTGGACACAAACAAGCTGCTCCTGGTTGATGGTTTCTCCAGCAGTAGAACATGTTCCCTCTGAGGTTGTAGATGATGATTGTTGCACACACAGATACCTGGTTGTCCGTTTGACATATTGTACCTCACATTCCACCAGCAAGTCACTGGATTCAATGAGGTAGAGATGATGCAGACTTCTGCTCCTCTGTGTCTCTGCCTGAATCTTCTCTGTGATTCTCTGGGGTTTAGGGCTCTGATCATCTCCCTAACTGACATGAGAACAAAACATCAACAATATCATGGTTGTGTTCTTATTACTCAAAAAACATTATCTAGGCTGAGAGATAAAAGTTTAACTGGTCAACAAAACCCTTTAAAGTTTAATTTACCTCCAACATGCAGCTCCACTGTAGAAAAAAGCAGCAAATTTTTAACAACAAAGTCTGATTGTCCTGTGGCCTCCATCTCACTTTTCTTTTGTCCTCACATCTGGGTCAGAACCTCCTGTGAGGAGAACATGAACATAAACAGTGGACATTAGTGAACTGTTTAAGCAGCTGACTGTAAGGACGAGCAGTTTTACAAGCTAATATTTATGTTACTGTCAATCTTTAGTTAGCTTCTGAGTTTAGCTAGCTACATAGATAAAATAAATTTACACACTAATATGTTAAAGTTAGCGTTATATGGATCCTAGTTTATTTCACCGCGATGTACGTGTTAAGCTGCAGTTATGCTAACAAACTAACTCACCAGCTGAAACTCACAGAGACGTCCTCGGAGTTCTTTGATGAAGAGTCCGGTCATGGAGATAATGAATCAGGACGTTCAGGCTCTACTCACAGGCTGACTTTAATGCTGAGAGGAGGAGGAGGAGGGGGGAGGCTAATGAACTCTTCTCTCCTCGCAGAAAAACACGGAGCAACTTTCTGCAGCGCGTGTTGTTGAAGCCATTTGACAACACGCGTTGCACACGTGAACCCGTCTGTGGCCGTCACCAGCACCATAGACATAATTATACATAGATTAGGTACGGCAGCTCTATACAGCTCTGGGTGTAATCTGGGTGTAGTCTGTTTGTCATATGTCTGGTGTTTTACCAGCCTGCATGCTGAAACCACGTGACACGTTACAGCCAATACCGAAACTTGACACCGAAAGAAGAGTGAAGTTTCAATACATACACCGACCGGTGAAGTTCGGTCGGTGCCATAAAAGAACCTTGGTTCGGTACTCAGCCCTACCAGGGTGTACCCCGCCCCTTGCACAGTGATCACTGAATATGGGCACCGGCGACCCCCATGTCCCAAAAATGGAAGAAGCAGGTAAAAGATAATGGATGGATGGATGGTCGTAGTCACGTGAATGTGTCACGTGCTCAGCGCCAGGCGCTGGCTAGAAAATGGATCCTTCCAAGCAGACGAAAGGCGAGGAGCAGGCCAAGTCTCGGTAAACAGGTAGAAATTGAACAACAGTGTGGAAGTATTTCACTAAAGATGACTCTTCCGGTTCAACTATCCACCACCGCCCGCCCCCCTGTTTTTAGTTTTGTTTTTTACGTGCCACACGTTTCTTTCACTTTTGCAGCTTAATAAAAGTTTTGGTTTTCCTATGGCTTATTTGCAGTATGATAAATGGTAGAAGCATAAATATACGCTCCCCATGTTCTGTTGTTTTTTGTTTTGTAAATAATAAATTACGTTTTTTTTTTGCAAATATAGCATCTTAGCGAGTTCCTATGATGTCGTATCGACTAGTCGACTCAACTTTTATCATGTTGAAGTTGACTATAAAAAATATGAAGTTGTGCAACCCCTAATGTAAAAATGATTGTTAAATCTTGTTCTGTTTTGTATTTTCAGTTGAGGCGAATGTCTAAATGGAAGCGCATATTGTCCAAAAGCAACCTTGAGACAGTAACATGCTTTCAAAACTTACAGGCTTGTGGTAAGCCTGTGGTAAATGATATGTTATATGCTATGTTATGCTATGTTATGCTATGCTATGGCACAATATATGTTACATTGAGTGAAACTCTTGACATTTTATCATTAAAATACACTCAGAGCAAATATGTTTGTATGTGTGCACTCAGAGTTAAAGTATTCTCATAATAAGAACAAAATGGGAAGACACTTTGTAACTTTTCTACCAATCAAAGTTAAAAGTAAACATTGTCACACACCTCCACAGGATCGCATCTGTATTGTACGTCACTGCTGCTGCTACCCCCTGGTTTTCTCCCACTGTGCGTGGTGCCTACCCCCATAGGACCTGGATGGTACTGTGGCTCTGCTGCCACTGCTGGGGGCTCAGAACACAAGAAGTCCTCCTGGGAAGAGCGCGAGCGAGATGTCTCTGTGGAAGACAGGCGAGTTGTCCGACCTTCCAAGTAGGCACTCATCTGATATAGAGAGGAAAAAGTATCAATGTGGCAGACATCAATAAATGTATCAAGTCTGTCAACCATAACTGCAGCTTTAAAGAAAGGAATACAACTGCCCATGGAGCCAAATAGCTTGAACTCAGGAATGGTATTGATTAAATAATATTCTGAGTAGATAAATCTAAGACAGGTAATTAAAGAACGGTATATATAGAAACTATAGACTCTAACCACAAGATGGACATTTTGTTCCAAGACATATATAGAGAAAAGCTTTGCAGAGAGTGGTGAAGGCTGCACGGAAGACTGTCAGAGTTGGCCTCCCCACCATCACAGACATCTACACCTCTAGATGCAGGAGGAGGGCTACCTGCATCATGAAGGACCTCATTCACCCAGCACACACACTTTTTGCCCCACTTCCCCCAGGAAGGAGGTTGAGGAGCATTGAGTATAGAACCACTAGACTGAGGAACAGCTTCTACCCTGAGGCTGTTAGACTCATGAATCTCTAACTAGAATAATCACTGTGAAAAACCACATCATGTTGCTGCTGATCTGTTTCATGTTGCTGCTGATCTGTTTCAATGTTGATGTGTTCATGCGTGCTCATCCGCTCACACAGACTCATGTTCATGTTTGTGCTGATGTTCAATGTTTTATGTTATGAGTGCTTAGTGTATATTTAGTTGATGTTTTTCTTAGTTCATATCTTAGATGTTATTACTGTTTTTCTTATACATTTTATTGTTGGATGTAACTGGGACCCTGTGTCAGAGTCAGAGTTTCTTTATTGTCATTCGCACCTCATGTGGTACATGTGGTGGAGCGAAATTATGTACACAGGGTCCCAGTTACATCCAACAATAAAATGTACAAGAAAAACAGTAATAACATCTAAGATATGAACCAAGAAAAACATCAACCAAACATACACCAAGCACTCATAACATAAAACATTGAACATCAGCACAAACATGAACACGAGTCTGCGAACAGATGTGCACGCATGAACACACCAACATTGAAACAGACCAGCAGCAACATTGAAACAGATCAGCAGCAACATGAAACAGATCAGCAGCAACATGATATGGTTTCTCACAGCGACTATTCTAGTTAGAGATTCATGAGTCTAACAGCCTCAGGGTAGAAGCTGTTCCTCAGTCCAGTGGTTCCACACTCAATGCTCCTTAACCTCCTTCCCGAGGGGAGCGGGGCAAAAAGTGTGTGCGCGCTGGGTGGGCGGGATCCCCCATGATGCAGGTGGCCCTCTTCCTGCATCTGGAGGTGTAGATGTCTGTGATGGTGGGGAGGCTGATTCCAACAGATTTCTGTGCAGCCTTCACCACTCTCTGCAAAGCTTTTCTTTCTGCAGCTGTGCAGCCTCCATGCCACACATTGATGCTCGAGCACAGGATGCTCTCCACTGCACACCTGTAGAAGGAGGTGAGGACTGAGCTTCCCAGACCAGCTCGCCTCAGCCGTCTGAGGAAGTAGAGTCTCTGATGAGCTTTCTTGATCAGGCTGGTGGTGTTGTTGCTCCAGCTGAGGTTGTCATTCATGTGTACACCCAAGTACTTGTAGCTGGAGACCACTTCCACTGCAGATCCTCTTATGTTCAGGGAGGTGTAGGTGTTTTTGTTCCTTCTGAAGTCCACAATCATCTCCTTTGTCTTCTTCACATTGATGTGAAGGTTATTCTCTCTGCACCAGCTCTCCAAGTGTTCCACCTCTTGCCCGTAGCTGGACTCATCATTGTTTGTGATGC